AAGTACGTATGAGCCGCAACGCTATGACGTGACTACCCAGCGGCAGTGGAGTTGAGGAAGAATTACGGATGTAAGGACTTGGTCAGGGAGTATGATTGTGACTTTTAAATAGGTGGTTAGCAGGCGACAGACACTGACCATGAACACTTTGTAAGGAGCCCCAGCAAGGTAGGCAGCCGAGAGAAGACGTGAACACATGACATGAAGACCAATGGGTGGTCTAGCAGAATTTCGCGAGTTTGACTCCCTCCCTTGACGTATAGGTAGCAGGAATGTACCACTCCTGCCTGTGCAGGTGGACGCCTCTTATGGACACTGCTTAAGTGAAAATACAAACATCGCGCCCGATAGCTGCTTCAGACATGGTGATTTAGAGCCGAGGACTCCAAACGGTGGGCATGGCAAGAGTTTGACCACCGCGAGCGTCGACATCCACCGTGTACTTACTTGTACTTGGTACGGCTGCGATTATGCCTGATCTAGCCGGCCTCAATGATGCCTTGAACTGTACCTCTCCACGCGTGACGATTCGCGGCAGCAGATCGCCAGCGACGGAGACCGAATACGGAAGGTCGGAGAACCACCGCCATTTCTTGACGAACTGTGTCGAGCCAAGTTTTGAGGCGATCCCCTCTTCGACGCCTCCAAGCAGGTAACGGTGCCTGATAGAGCGCAGTAACATCGAGCTCCTTAGGTGGACGACGAAGAATATGTCAAAACCACCTCAGTCGTCTTTCTTGGATAGCCTGGGTTATCCTTGCTATGTTGTCGCAACGAGCGCGGGCTGTTTCATTTGAGAAGTCGGTGTAGTTCACTCGAAGGATGGTTTTCAAGCAGTGGTGGTCAAATACCGCCAGTTTTCGCCCCTCCTCCACGCGCACATCCCAGAATTCACAACTACAGAGAAGGACAGACCGGACAGATGCACGATACATGCGAATTTTACCGGCAATGGAGAGGTCGCGTCGGATCCATAGGCATTTTCTAAGGTTTCAGATAAGCTGCCGGGCAGCACCGATTCGGGAGACAATGTCCTTCTTACTCTGCCCCTTCGGCAGCAGCCTGGCCCAGAGGTATTTAAAACTGTTTACTTCTTCGAGTTGACAGCCATCAATCCCGAGAGGTGCCTTTTTCTGGTCAGGGATGCAGCTTGAGAATACTTTGGTCTTCCCAGCGTTTATGGACAAACCGACCGACTTAGTGACCTCATTCACCCATGACGCCATAGACTGCAGATCACCAAAACTTAAAGCAAGTAAGGCAATACCACCGACGTAGTCGAGATCAGTCAGTCAGTGTCCGGATGGAAATTCAACATCGTCGCCTTCGTGTAGGGCCCTCCCGAGAATCCAGTCAATAGCGTAGTTGGACGTAATGGGTGACAGGGTGCAACCCTATCAAACGCCAGACCGAATGCCAAACGGTTGGGAAAGGTTGTTGCGGACCAGGACTCGGGCGGTGGTGAAACGACAGTAGGTCTTGATCATGGCGAGGATTTTTGGCGGTACACCCCCGTGTGCCCCATGGGGGATTGACGAAGCGTGAGCCAGTTTGTCGTGGGACAGCACTTAGCCCACTCTTTCCTCCCTCACCCACCCGACGGAAATTCAATGTCAAGACGGCCGGAAGTGGCCCCTGGCGCCGTGGCTGACAGAGCTAAACAGACCGTCTGCGAATGCCACACACGAGCTGTTACCTGCACAATATGCCCGATTTCCATAGAAACAAGGGTATCCGGGTCTCACATTTACTAGGGCCATGGAAGCCACAGTAAGAGGAAGCCATTGGGCCTGCCTTCCAGTCCTCGAGCCAGCCACCCCACATAGACGCACAGTGCTGACCATTAGGGCCGAGTCAACTGGCGGTCTTCCCGGCCACAGCTGTTAGCGAATCCTGATGGCTTCAAAGGAAGTCAGATTCACATAAATAGTAGTGAAAATGCGATTCCCAGGTGGCATATCAAAAGAAGAAGGGGCTTTCACCGGGAGGGGTTTATTTGAGGTCCGACGTTTCGAATAGTTTATTCGTCTACCCAACTTCAGAGACTGGGAAGTCCTGTGCACAGCTCCCCTTATAATGGCGCCCTTTGTTCAATGCGTGATCTGCCAATGCCGCCTGTGTGGCTGCATCCAACCCGTATGTCACCGTGACCTGAATCGCCCCGGTCGGCCGCGGAGATGACTGACTGCCCCGATCGTCCCGCGCTAAGAAGGTTCGTAAAGTCAGATAGGGAGGAGGCAAATTGAGGTGGCGGTTGACAGAGCGGTCGGTGGACATCTAGGCTTCTCGCACTTGCACGGTGGCATACGGGTTGGATGCAGCCACACAGGCGGCATTGGCGGATCACGCATCGAACAAAGGGCGTCATTATAAGGGGAGTTGTGCACAGGACTTCCCAGTCTCTGAAGTTGGGTAGACGAATAAACTACTCGAAACGTCGGACCTCAAATAAACCCCTCTTCTTTTGAGAGGTCAGATTCATTAGTGACGAGTGCGCTGATGGGTCATTGGAATGACTTCCAATTGGGGCAGAACAAATACGAGGAAAGGCACGATTCGCCTGCTACTAGAGCACGTATTCCTCTTGACCTATGAAATGTGTCAGCGTGACTGGGTTCTCGCAGTTTGGATCCTTTTTCCCATCAAAGGAATAGGCCCTCGGAAATCACATTCTACGTCCATTTTTGAAGTAGTGTGGCGTTTAGTGCTGGTGATGCTCAGTAAGCGGCCGGTCAGCGACATAGATTGATGTGTGCCACCCAATATTTTTTTCGCTGTGTCCATCTCCGTCTGTTCAACACTGACAATATCTGCCTGTCGGAATCAAGATGCAATAGGTCCCAATGGAGCCAAGTGCGTGTACGCTTGTAATTGCCAAATGTTGGGGGGGAGGGAGGGGTCATAACTAAAGAATATATATAAGGGCATAGAAGAGAAATATAATGCAAAAAATCAACCTAAAAGTCGCCATCATCAATGCGGTGGAAGAATAATGTCAGTGGCAGAAGACAGTGTGTCGGTTTGCGCAGATGGTCATACCCACAAGCAAAAAGAATTAAGGCATGGTTTGCGCAGGCGTTGTTAAGGCCCTGTGTGTGTGCATGTGAAAAAGACACCAAAAAGGTATGGAAGAGGTTGCTCAGTTCAGGAAGCAGACGTCGGTGTTTTCAAATTCAAGAGGAGGCCACGCATCCTAGTAAGATCATGGGCACTCTTGCTGTTTTTTGCCTACAACGAAGAAAAGGCGGGGCGGATTGAGAGGTTTTACTGACAGAAAAGTAAGGATATAAAATCTCGACGGCACAACATGGACTAGGGGGAAACAAGGTCGGAACTGGTGGATGGTTTAAGATTTTATGTGTATGTCAGGGAGTACAGTAGAAGTGCTAGCCCATGAAATATTAATTGAAATCCTGAAACATGTTCTCGATTCGAGACGACTACGTAAGTAGGGCTGTAATATTTACTATCGTGCAGCATAATCTTACGATATTTCAGTCGCACCAGGATTTTGGCTTTTAGATGAGCTTCTTTTCGGTCGTCTGTAAGAACTACTTAAGTAGTATGAATTCTTCCCATTGAGTTCCCTCTTGTACTCATTTTGTAGCAAATTAGATCTTCAAATCTTCTACTTGAAGAGAGAACGTTTTCTGGTTTTTAAAAACTCTTTCAACCTCCGAATAATTTTTTGATACTCGTTCTTCGAGTATAAGATTTGAAGAGAGCGTAATTTGCTATCAGATGGGTTTAAGAATGTTTTGTGTACATTTTATATAATATTTAACCCTGATGACTGAAATATATTAAGATTATGCTGCACAATAATTAATGTTACGACCAAACGAAAGTAATCGCTTCAAATTGAAAAAATAGTCCAGAACTCAAGTTAACACTTCACGAGATAGCACATATACTGATTTATGAACAGCTAACTACTCTGTTTATATGGCCTAAATGGATGGTGTATGTGGTAGCTAGGTTGGTGAGACATCCGTCTGTCATGAACAGATCGAAAGCAACAAGCGTGAAAAAGCCCTGCTGATCGTGGGATAACGTGAATGTAGGGCGTGAAGAACAATTCGTAGCCTCTCAGAATAGTGCGAGTCTAGTCAGAAACGGCACGAGTTTTTTTACTACTTCCGAACTGAGCAAATCGTGAGTTATCTTGGCAAACTACTCGCCTGACAAATGCTTTTCACTGATAATTCAGTCCCCGCATTTAAGTGGAGTTTGGAATAAAATGGTTGAGTCAGTTATCAAATCTGGCTTGATGCTAGTATAAAACATGGAAAGATTCAACGTAGGCGAAGGGGACTTCATGTAACTCTGTGAAATGCATTGGCAACACTGGGTGGCTGAGAGTTCGGATGGTGTCAGCGTAATATTGATAAAGTAGTACATACCGTTGGAGATGTCTCATCAAACTAACGATTGTCAACAGTGCGCAATCACTCAGTTCAAACTGGGGCTGCTCATTTTTTAAGTGCCTAGACAGGGGCTAGAAGGCCCTCCTAAAAGCAGTCCTCACATACAATGCAGGGGTAATGCACATTTTTTAAGACTAAGAGGTAAATGCTTGCTGGTAATCAGGGTCAAAAAGCTCCTGGAAATCTCTGGAGATTAATAATAAAAGACTACGCATCATTCGACTGGCTGTATGCGGTCCTCAAACAACTGACTTGTTCCTACTTGCACGCACGCATTTTAAGAGTATGAATGATTCTCAGTTTGCCTATTTAGTTTATATTCCGCCTTTAAGACCACTAGGTGGTTAGACCTCTCATATCTCTCACCAGATCATCAACTGAAAGCCCTGTCTAGTCACCCGCCTACACCCCACGACATCATGGGCGGCGAAGCACGTAGCAGCACAAGCTCCACGACGAAACAACAAACGGAGCGTGCGCGACAAAAAGTGGATTCACACAGACCACACCAACACAGCTGACGACTTATCTATAAGTGGTGCGCTTAGCTCACAATAAGTAAGGTGACGATTTGTAAATAGGAATGGTGGGGAGCTAGGTTCGCACAATCCAACGGATCCTGTGAGGAGGTTCCATGAAAAATTCTCAAAGTACTAACGAGGGCCACAGTTCTTGGCGTTTTTAACACTGGACCCCAACGCCTATTCGTTCCATTTACAGGCCGTGGTGAACGGACTTTTTGAGCAACAGATGGACCGGACGGTCGTTACTTTCCAGATGCGACTAGGCAGTGAAAGAGACAAAACGGATGTTATACCTGTAGATCGCACATGCTGCAAACGCTATCCCAGACCTGTGTGTCGTTAACAGATGGTTTCGGGCCTGAATAACTGTTGTAGACCTTGCCGGATGCGTCCTTTGGTCCCTCTGATCTGTTGTCTGTCGACCTGGCCGCCAGCTGGCTGCGGTAGTTTGAGTACCAGGTGTCAAGTTCCTGTAAAACAAACAGGATAAAGGTAGTGCTGACTGCAAGTTATATGATAAAGACGTGTGGAGGCAAAATATCGAGAGCTAACCCTTTTGGCATTGGCTTCCAGTTCCTGACGCTTTCGTTCCTCCTGCTCATCGCGCTCTTTGATGTTTGCCTCAAAGTTTGCGCGCCAGGACTCCATCATGGCCGATGCCATTGGCGTTGCAGGCCCTTTTTCTTTACTGCTTTGGTGAGAGGAGGCGTGGGACGAGGCTGATGACCTGGGCCGGGCCTCCTCTTCCGCGTTCAGATACGGAGGAACTGTGACAAAATCATTATGGGAGGCCGTTGCATTCTCATGGGTCGGTTGATCCCCGCTAGCAGCAGGAGAGTGGGAGGAGGGATTTTGCGCCACGGCTTCGCTAGCATCACGCAGATCGTCCAATGAACCGACGTCTAAGAAGACAAGACTTTTTCATGTTCATATTTCACAATGTTAAAACAGTCCGCATTCGGTACCCGACGTTCCCGTATGCAACACTTACGCCCGGGGGCTGAAGAAACGCACTTAGCGAAAAGCAAGGCGCTGTCTCGCTGAAGTTTCGGGTGTCCAGCACTTTTTAAGTAACTTATTGATTAGCCAGATGGCTTCGAACCCTGGAGTAGGTCATACCTCTTCAACATTAGTGAGGAAATCGAATAAAGGCACGGACTAACTGTTCAGTCTCCAGTTGAAACTGTTAGCCTTCAAAAAAGCAAAGCTGAAGTGAGCATAAAGAAGGACAACCAAGCTGGGAAAATTTTCTAGCTGAATATGGATGACTGCAGGCCCCAAATGGGTATGAATTGCACATTTTTTCCTGAAAAGAGAACGTAGCTACTTTGTTGGCGAAATCTTAAATAGGTGGTCGACCTCTAGATGCAATATTCTTCAAAGAGTTCACATGCCGTTTGGTTACGAAAATAATCCCGAATTTCGTAAATTATTGCAAGTGTAAGACAGAAGTGAGAGATGGTTCAACTAGGGAAATTACTTTGCCTATTTGAACAAGTACGGACGTGGCACTCCAAATTGGTACGACATCAATGGTTTACAAACAGGGACACTTCATGTAGTAAGCACAAATCAATAAAAGTTGTGAAAACGCATTAGTATTGACAAAATGGTAAAGTAAAGGAAATTTGTGGAAATTGTGAGCGGTTGACAGACACGACAAGGGTACGCTAAATGTCTGAACTAACAGCCCCTTTTGCCGACCATGATCGTGTTTGGTCGTGGTCCTGCATAAGCATTAATACGCAGGTCAACGAGAGCATTACCAGGGTGCATGCATAGGGAACGAGGCAAACAACGGGAACGGGAAAAAGTGAATCCCAGTTAAATATCAGTAAAACGTACTTAAGGTACTGAATCTTTTTTTTGTATTTATGTAACTGGACTTTACCTCCAAACGAGCAAAACAGCACCAGTGTCACAGTAATTATCCGGATCGTCGGTGCTCTGTTCGAGGTACTTTATTCCACAGAATAAGAGTACATGACAAAAACACAAAATAGTGGAAATAGACGATTGGACACTCAGTTGACTGAAGAAACTTCAGATAAAATAATCTGAGTTCCGACAAAACATTAGCTTCTGGAAGGCGACGAAAGGGTCCAAAAAGATCCCAGACACCAACCATCACAACGTGGTGCTACGTCGGCACAACCCGATAAGGATGACTCCCCCGTCATCTATTTGTAGTTCTCCCAAGAAATATTTAAGAAGCGGACACTGAGGAATTATATTTCGAAGCGCGGAGAGGCGGGGATAAAATATGAGTGAGTGACATCCTAATTACGATGCTTAATGTTCTAAGACATTAAAACTCGTGTCCGAATAGTGTCAAATACAAACTGCTCAACGACGGTTTTGATAAGATGCCACCGGAAACGAGTAATTTGCTAGATTCGTTCTATTTTGAAGGAGGAGCCAATGCTGGCAGTCAAGAGGCAACAAAGCAAATGGCAACACCCCACTTTGTCTGTATGTCTCATTTAAAGAAGCATGCCACACAGAACACTGAGCGTTAAGGAATCCAACCTGAGCCATCGCCTCCTAATTCGTTGGCAATATCACCGAGGGCATCCTTCTCACGCGCCAAAAAATCCTGTACTGGGTCCGCCATGAGGAAGTCGTCACGATTACAAAAGGGGCGCCCGTGTTCGAGGTTGGTTCGAAGTCCTCCACGTGGCTGTGGATACTAGGTGTCAGGAGTGACAGATTAAGGATCTACGAGTGCGCGGTCAAACGCGCTGACTTCATAATACCGGGGCTCCTATTTTTAATTATTTACAGGAGCATTGCGCCTAAGGTAAGTAACAAAATGTCCTCCAGTACCATAGAATTAGGAGGGGTTCTGGAAGGGCAACAAGCAGAACATAGTGCAACTGGCTAAATAGCTAAAACAGAAAAAAAGCGTTGGAAACATGGCGCGCCAGGCAGTAAACACAAGGCCAAAACATTTCAGAAGGCTGGACTGTGCCCATAAACATTGAAAAATTGAACATCAACCAAATGCTTCATATTATAAACAATACCAAAAGCGCTTAACCGTAATCCAGACAACCCAACAAATTCTTACAAGTCTGGAGAGTTCTCAGAGATACCCCAAGAGATTTCACTTATGATGTGGCTCGAAAGTAAACCAGGCTTCAAACAACTCACCCAGTCACCTATATTATGTGTGACTTCAATGAGTGCCAGGGCGTACTGGGTGCAAACGCACGTCGGGCCAGGTTCATCGATGTGTTTAAATTATCTTTGCATAGCCTTATACTGACGATTATACCTCTGCCACAAATACACTTTCGGCAACTACCATGCACAAAGATGTGCCATAGACGACAGCAAGTGGGCCTAGTAGTGCAGGCACGATTATAGTGGTAAGACGCTCTTCGAGTTGTACATTGGCAGTCCCCGCCAAATACATCGGTGGTCGTGGCGCATACTTATATCGTACCCCATCCCGGTACCCAACTCTTCATTTTGGCTCCATAAAGCCCTGTTCAGCACGGAGGCCACACGCTGGAAACCGGCCTTGACCGGGGAGCTAAACCAGTTGAGGGTGTCCGGCAGCCCCCAAACTCCCTCCCCAACCCTACAAAAATTCCTACATAGGCGGTAACGTAAAGTTTCATATGCGGAATGGACTAACCCGGATTATCTTCCCATTAATCAAAGCCCTGACCCCTCTTAGATTTCGACAGCAATCTGGAATGACTTAGCAACTCTACCTGAGGGTATCACTACTTCTCCTTTGCAAGGAATGGGCTGGAAAATGTATCTTGAAAAGCTGCTAGTAAAGCATGCCCTCAACAAGTTAACAGTGGCTTGCGGATGCAAGTGTGAAGTCAAAAATCACAAAACAGTAAGTTACGTCCTATCCTTTCTGCTCCCCGCTGACTGTCTCTGAAGTCTCAGAGTCCGGGATTCTCTGATGCTTGTTTTATTTCAATAATAATGATAATAATAATAATAATAATTTTCATTCAAGACCCGTGGAGGCCTGTTCCTTGCAAATAAGAATAACTTTTACATGAAGTTTAGACTTTTAAAACAGGTATACAGAATCTATACAATACTTATTTATAGTTATTGAATAAGTAGTATGTTACGAAGAATTATGAGCGAACAGTGAAGAAAACTCCTGACATATAAACAAAATGACTATGAGTGGACTATGACCGTGAGTGTGCCCTAGATTTTGATGACTTCTTTGAATTGGCCCGGACTGACCGTCTGCGTGGTCATCCGTTCAAACTGCAAAGGAAGCGGGCTCATTCGGACGTCCGACGGAACGCCTTCTCACACAGGGTCATCGGGGCATGGAATGGACTCCCTGATGCCGTCGTTCTTTCCGAAAGTGTTAAATCCTTTAAGTGCAGACTAGACGCTCACTGGTTGAGAACCTACTGTACATACAATCATGATTGTTTTAGCGCCGGCAGTTTGCGACTGGCTCACAGTTACCGCTAACTTCTTAACGTTTCGCATTTGCTGATGTAATTGATGACTTTATTTCTGTTTATCGACATGAATAGGGTGCTCAAGGGCGAAAGCCTCATTCCCTTAATAAACTGACTTAAACTGACTAAACACTATAGGTGAAAGAACTCTCGCTCCTGAGTGTATAAAAATCAGGCAGGACCGCTCTGTATGTGGCAGTGTATAACGGATTCTATGAAGGGGTAAGTAGGCGGGTCAGGCACGCCTGGCCTGCATGTGGTATTGAGGAAAAGGTTCGAAACGGGCATCATCAAGGTAGAATTCATATGCTGGGTGAGGCCATTCGCGACAAAGTGGCGAATAGAAAACCAGTCTCGAGCCGATAGGAACCCAGATGCGATCGGTTACAGTCAGTCGAGTCCAGCCGAGGAGGGGGCAAGGGAGATACGACCAGACTACTAGTATATGCCGAATACAGAAGATTCTGCTAAGAGCGTCGATAGAGCGCATTCTGTGAGGAGCACGATGTATGAACTGAAAAATCGAAAAATTAGCATTTCTGATGAGGGATTCTAGGAAGCGAAGCTGTCCGGAAAGAAGGAAGGCTCGGGCCGCCTACGAATTTACCCGATTCAAAGTGGACACTGTGGCTCTCGGTGATACCAAAATTATCTGAACAGCGCCACCTGCAATGCTTGTGTGTCAGCTAACCTTCTTCCGGGATGGGCGTCTAAGGAAAGAACGACGAGAAGTCGAAAGCGCTTTTGCCATCAGAAGCAAGGCCGTGATACCGCAGTCCTGTCAGTCGCAGTACATCAGTCACTGGCTCGTGACTATAAAGATGCTAAAACATGGAAACAAACTCGCTATCTTTGTTAACGTCTACGTCCCTTAGTGGCCAACTCCGATGACGTGCAAGTAATTTCTACGAATACATGTGCCGAAAGCTACCGTACTGCCTATCCTTGGTGACGTCGGCGTCCGTGTCGGCAAAAACAATGCTGCTCAGAGAGAGGTGGTCGTCCGCCATGGGATCGGCGGCTACAAAAGCAATGATCTCCTCCGACTGGCCTGTTCGGAATACAATCTTCTTCTAACCAACATCACTTTGTGAATAATTGACTTAGACGCGAGAGGCAAGCGTAAACCTCGGACATCTGGAAAAAGTTGTGTCAGGAAAGTTTTACTCCCTGCCCAACGTGCAAACAACTGCTGGTGCGGTCGCCTGACAATTAAACCGGTTTGATAGCTGCATCGCCCACAAGCCGTTATCTTCCCTGGGCACGGCTTTACCCCGAGAAATGGGACCCCATAGCAAAAGGTGGTGAAGTGATCTCAATTGTTGCTACCCATACACTGTTCGATGTTCCAATTCCACTGACCATTCAGGTCAACGACTTGGGACGGCCATTAACAAGTACAAGTTGACTATCGACGACGTGACCCCTTGCCCATTTGCGTCTGTCCACTCCCTCCAATGCGGCCAGCATGGCTAACTCTGAACAGGTACAAGAATGCCCCTAGTCTTAAGACTCTTACACATGCTGCATCGACCATCATGTCGACCTGGATGCTTATTATGAAGGTGTGCGTGCATGGCCCACTGCCTTACGCTCATCTTAAAAACAAGGCTGTCAATATATCTCCTGGCCATGCAGAGCCTCACTGTATCGTCAGCCCACCCCCACAACGCTTCGAGCCATAGTTGGATTTCCGAACGCTTTCCCTTACCTCCGGCATCTATTGCAACACAATGCCCATTCCACCTCCCACGGATGTCTGCCTGGCGCTATAACATCTGTAGATATATACACTCTGTTGCGAAAATCCCACCTCTCAATATTCACATCTCCCAACGACGAGTTGATGTAATCAACTCGAAAACTCCCGATTTTAATTCCACTATTTGATCGAGCCTCATCCGGTCGTGCTACGAAACTCACTTCGGGGTTAGGTGTGCGTGGTTGGCGACGGTTAATAAGCCAGGACTGACAATTCCAGTTTCCATACTTGAAGTTTTGACTGTTTCTGTACACATGCTTAAGTCTGACGACAAGATTGGGGGGAACCGACGTCGAAAATTTAATGATAAATTTCCTACTTTTCCTAAGGAACCTACTAGCTTCAAAACAATATATCAATACGTTAGCGATAGGTATGTGCGAAGCCCCGATTTGGTGCAACAGAAGTTTCCAGACTGATTAAATGACATTTTTAAATTAAATGTATAGCCAATTTGTGTTTAAATTCCTCCGTTGCGACCGTCATTATTATAACCTCGCGAGGTCCGTTCCAGGAGCCAACAACTTGCTGCGAAAACTAGCAAAGACTAGCATCCAGGTGGAATACGATTTCTTGAAGTTTGAGAGAGCTCCTATGCAGGTTGGTCTTTGTAGCCAATACGGTGAAATAACAAATTGCAAGGCTCAATCACTAGCCCCCACAATCCGGCAGGTCTTCCTTATTTCAGTGTATTTGAGCAAGATAGGCATACGTCTTTGAACTCCCTTTTCGTCCTTTAAAAATCGAAAGAATGAGCAACAATATAAAGAAATTAAGCCTTCAAGCGAATGTTGACTTCGATTCACACAGCCCACTGGTTTTTATGGTAACACAGTCACAGAGTCCGCTTGTCGGTGCACCATTTATCTGTCAAGCCGATGTTTAAATCTCTCCACAGACTGAGACATTACAATCGCCTCGGGCAGATTGGTCTGCGGCTCCGCTACACGACTGGAAAAAATACTCTCTCACATCCAATGTTCCACGGGACACGCGTAGTTCGAGGGAATGTCGCGGAGGTTAGATGTAGTGGCCAGTTGGAAAAAGCGATATTACAGGAGGACACAGCCCAAGCCACGCACGATACGGAAAGTTTTGTCAGGTCTTTGCGCAAATGCCTATAAATCAGAGGATAAAGATTAAGATTATTTAGGCGGATCCCACACGGCAGTGCACCTTGACCTCTTGCTAATTTTGTGGCTCGTCTCTTGGCCTATAAGAGATATCCTCAGAGCTTCCTGTATTCTAGTAAGAATAGGTCAGGCAAATTAATTCCGAATTTGTATGAAAAGGAATTCGGACCCTTTGTGACTTTTGTCGCACTCCTTTGAACAATTTCTGGCAGCTAGGTATCTTTTTTTCGGTAACGGGAGCAATGGCTGATTTCCATATTCCAGT